CACACATTATTCAATAAAATAATATTTTTCATCACATCAATAATTTTTTTTTCTTTTTCAATCATACATTTCCCATTATATCACTATTCAAAATCAATTCTTCTCCCAAAAATCTCTACCAAACAAGCTCTTAATACTACTACTTAATAATTTTCACACATCTCGTGAGATTAACTAATATTTCTCTTAATAAATTAATTTATAAATTTGCGAAACGAATTCATTTGTGTAAAATAATAGATGTCAATGCGACATCGTTTACAAGAATAATGCTATGATGTGTCGATTTCTCTCTTTCGTTTTATCTCTCTCCAATATTATTCTTGAGACTGGAAGACTATGTAACATTTTGGACATTTTTGACCTAGGAGTATGACAAAATATTCCAAAAATTAACACCATTAAGAAATCCCTTGTTCAAACCGAAGCTAATTAACCATGGTTAAGGGCTTTTCTCTGCCCTCAGTTAAACCTTAATTCCTAATAAGTAAAAGAATAAAAAAAACATTAAAAAAATATGAAAATAAGAATAATAATAAAAAAAAAAGGTTAGGGGTGTAGATTCTAAACTAGTGCTTCATTTATGATTGAGACCTATTCTTTCCCAAAAATGAATTTTGAAACATTAATTTCATAGAGAATATGTCATTAAAAAATAAGAAATTTTTTTGAATTTGCTTGTAATATTATTTTATTAAAAAATATATAACCCTTGTTTGATACCCATTTTTTCTCATTCTCATTTTTTTCTCTTTCTTCATTTCAACCATACATTCTATCAATAAAATAATATTACATATAAACTCAAAAATTCTCATTACTTTTTAACCACACATTTTTCTATCAATCACTATTCCAGAATTTATTTTTTGTCAAAAATGGGTGTCAAACAGGTGCATAGTTGAAAATAAGAAAGAAAAATATATTAAAAAAAAGGAGGATTGAACAAGGGTTAAAAGTTTTTACTTATTTTACATTTTTAATGGTCAATTTATTTTAGTATCCGCATTGAAAAGTGTATCATATCATAATTTTATGAATTTTTATAGAAATTGATTTGTGAAATAAACATTTCTTTCTCATAACATTCAAAAGTAGAAGTTTTATTCATAAGAACACACAAATTATTATTTCTTTACCATTTTTTTTTTTAATCTTATATCAACTAGTAACATTCAAGAAATTAAATCATTAACAAAATGCTATTATTATTATTTTTTGTAAATTTCAAAAAGGTTAAAACAATCATTTGGTATCTAATGTTTCACATAAAATAAGAATTTTACAAGGGCTGGATATGGGTCGGTTCGGTTATGAAAAGATCCGAATTGAATCAAAATTTTCGGGTATTTAATAAATGAAATTGTCGGATCCAAATATAATTATAGAATCGTTCGAGTTCGGTTCCGTTCGGTTCGGTTCTGTACCATAATTAAATTTTTTAACATTTACATCACTACTATATTAATACAATTAATGACAGTTCATTCGTAACTTTTACAAATTAACGTATCCCAATTTAAAAACATATAAATAACAAGTTGTCTAATAAAATTAATTCAATGTATA